AATAACAACGTATTGCCGGAAGATGACGTGTTTGTTAAAGTAAATAATAACAATTGTAACATGTACCGAATTATTTGGCCGTTGTTTCAAAGGCCAAGCGATTTTGCTACTTGGCTTTTACGTTCGTCTGTGGCCATGTTAAGCATAAAGATCTTTCATACATGGTTAAGATTCATCATAAGATATATAACTTCGCTGTGTCAGCGATATTTTCTTATTACAGATGTATATTGTGCGTCCGCGAGTTCTAAATTCGTTTTTATTCTAAATTAACTCCGCGTCAAAATCTTCATCTCTGTATAGTGATAGCCAATGACAATGTATTCTACCCTGAAACTCGTGAGACGTATCTCTGACGATCGCAAGTGTGAAACGTAGTCTGTGTACATTTAGGTCAGAAGAGAGATGTGCCAAGACGGACTTAATTCAATGTCTATCAAACGACAATACGTGTACATCGTACTACCACATCAGACATTTAACGACAAAATCGTTTCGCCAACAACTGCAGTTGCGGTTGTTGCAGCTGCAGCTGCAACAACGGATTGTACCTGTGTAAACTAACGGCACACAGAGTGGCGTAAAAGGGGCGGTGGGCACTGTTCTGCTATGTCGTTTAGCGAGAGGATTGTATCATAACACATAATGCGACATTAACGTAAGTCGATGCTATATGCGGAATGATGATGGCCAATGCACACATACATACGCCAGTAGAAACATTTAATTTTCTGGTCATAGCATGATTTTTATTGTCTCTTGTGATCCGCTACCCGATTCAGCGGGCCATCATATGAGCGTGCAAGTTACACCAACCAAAGTCTGTAATGCGACGCGCGGCACCTAAATGAGCCTATTAAAAATAGAAGGCCACGGCAAGAACGGCTTAATAGCATAACACTACATCTGGTTTGTGTTAGAATGTAAAAAAAAGTCACCGCAATGCGAATAGTAAAAATGTGCATCACATATTTTTCTCTATGTGCAACAAACTTGCAGTTCTTCTAAATTTAATTAACGTAAGTGTATAACAAATACTTGTAGTATATTGGAAGATAAAACGCATCAAGCACCTAGCGTGATTTCTTGTATATCGGTGCCTAAAGGTTTCAACCTTTACAAGGAAAAATGACAAATTGTTTCGGGCACCTCAGCTGCCACTTGGTTTCAGGGATTCACTGATTAATAAGCCGTGGGCCGCACTGTTACACAGGTGTCATACTACGAAATGCATTCGACAGTATTTCAGTACCCTGCGTTACCAGGTGAGACTACTCGTCGTTTCAACGATCACGACCACTATTATCGACAGTCATATCTAACAATAAGTAAAGGGGTCCCTCTTACAATCCCTTCCAGTCGTTTCAGCTTTGTCCTTAGAACAGACGAAAAAGACAAGCCAAGCCCCTAAAAATAGGTGTACGACGAGCAAGCAGATGTCTGGTAGTCAGAATCAATCGACAACAATACTACTAGCTCGAATAGCGCTCACAATGAAGACGAAACAAAGATATCATCAATCCGAGCGCCGATGGATGGCGTCACATGTAGTAACCTCGAGGTTAGCATTTGTTGCCAGCGTTTGAGAAGAAGCCGCGTTAGAAGCTCCGTCGCCTCGAACACCCTCAACCGCCTTTAAGCCACGGTCTCTTTGAGGGGGTTGTTGATGTCTCACCGCCGCCATCATCATCAGTTAAGATAACGCGAAGATATCACTGTTAACAATGGGCAAGGTGATAATTATGCGTCAGTGATAAATGCCCTCTCCCGTTGCCCCTCGCTAATCTTACTGGATAGTTTTAGACGCGTTAGTTTCTCTCGAGGGGTCCGTAGCGGCCTCTAGTCACTGTAGCTAGTTATGATGAAGCCGTAGACCGATAGTAAACGAATAACAATCCAGCCGCCGTTCTATGCTTGACGATATGGAAATATTGAACCCCATATCTCAGTTAATCGTACGTTACTGGTCGACTGGCAACAGTCGGTTAGTTAGAGATTTATTCTGAGTCGGCCACCTACGACACAAATCCAAAGCAAAGGAGCCATAGGGAGGGTACGAGTAGGCCTACTTGGCTGGCTTTACCGAGCTGCGTCGGTTGTGGCAAGTTCGCTTTTTTATTTTAGTCCATTAAGTCCCGCGTATCACAGGTGAGTCTGCCGTGGATGGCATGCAAGTCCACGGCAGAAAGAAGCCGATGGTCAACGCGTGACAATAGAAGGAGTAGCAAAAGAAATTTGCCTGAGTCAACCAGTGCGCCATAGGGTGTCAACATTCTTACCCTGTTCCCCTCTATACCTGTTAGGGTATCAAGTTAAGAAGAAAGCAGAGAATCAGAACATGCACCGATTTTCGAGGGACAAAAGAATGTACCGATGACCGCCGAAATCATGCAAAAGCTGGACCTACCCAAATGTTGATACTATAAGAGACATATTTCAAAAATACATTTTATTTACCTAGAGACGCTGAGATCGTCGCCCAAATCTAAAACACCAGGCACTGTTATTGTTACGTGAGAAGAACCAAAGGGAAGTCTAATAAAAACACGCTCGTAATGATAAGGCGACAGTTTCATCGAGTAAAATTTTGCGAGCTGTGAACACCTCTATCCAGATTCTAAAAATTATTACTTTTACTGCCTAGGACAGATTATACCTAAAAGGTTTCACTATGAATCAAGGGTGGAAATTAACAGTTACGAAACAACGCGGCTAAACCTCGACAAGGGCTGTTCGAAGGAGACTGACTCAGGAGACTATAATAAAGACTGAAGCAGAAAACCATCATTAACCGAAGGAACGTGCATTTCGCTTTATGCTCATCTCGAAAAACGACCCGAACAAGATTTTATTGGGCTAGCAAAAAAATATGAAATAAAACCAAACGTGGAACGGACAGTCTGGCGGTCCGGGCAGCGTTCTGTTTACGTAACCACAGAAATGGTTGTCTCTGTTCAGACAATACCTGCAGTCGACATCTCACAGATAGAAAATTGTCATTATAATTCTATTCATAATATGTTATGCACAAAAAAAAAGTTATGTACTCGGCAAACTAGGGAACAAGTAGACAAACTGAGAGCCCATGTCGTAGCAAACGTTTTAGCATGATAAGCTCTTGATTAGTTCTTCATACGTCGGCTACCTCAATTGGCTCGACTGTTTTTACTGTGTGATATTTGCACGTACGGGGAATCATGTAATCGATAGATTTATTACTGCCGATGTCTATCTAGAACAATCACTATTTTTAGACCGACTCCTGTTACCATTATGCTTCTCCCACCCTCGTACCGATTTCTGTTGGACTAACTAGTATCGACAATACTATATATATATATATATATATATATATATATACACACACACACACATATCTTGTCCTGCCTTTTATGCTAAAATAACGGTCACCTTGGAGACTTAATGCGTTTACTCCCCCCTCTTGTATGGCCGGCTTGAGTAAACAACATTTCAAAGGAGTAAATATCACCGTACCTTAAGTGATTATATGTGTATGTATATGAATGATCGCTTGCCTTTCACCTGTTCGAGCATAACGCAAACTAACGGATACTAAACCCTTAAACCCGCACCCCTCAGTCTTCCGGTTTCCTCTTGCTGAACCGGTAGTGCTTGACGTGAGCCGACTGTCGCAAAATACTATCGTTAAATTTCTTCAGAAGGTGACAGAATAAATCGTTTATAGAAAGGCCGATTGACTTAGATAGACATGAGTAATTAGTTCTTGACTGATATGGTCGTTTCCTATCATCGTATCTTATTAACTTTATGGCATAATTGCACAGTTCGTTGGTAAGCATTTGCCTACAACAAGAACCACACTCATATATATATATATATATATATATATATATATATATATATCTATATACAATTGGCTAACTGCAGAGGAGGCCGAACACATTGCTATGACACTATCACCCTGTGCTGGGTTCTGTGGTAAGGCACACATTGCCGGCCTCGCAAGTGTTAGTTCTGCAATTAGATAGACTATATGTACAGACGTACGTTTGTATAGAAAGCGGACATATGGCTGTACACAACCACTAATAAAGCAGATCTAACCTATATTAACATTTTGACAAAGTGTGGTTGCAATCGTTCTTATAACCCGAAGCATTATCTGTACAAACTTTTTATGCGAACTAAAACTTATTGTAACAAAAAATAAACTTCGTTATGACAGCTTGCTCTGCGTTCAGTTAGCAGATATTCTAACCGCAGATAAAATTTAAAGTAAAAATTACTCTTTACAAAAAAAAAACAAAGAGTAGCTTATCTCCACACACTCTGAGCGCGGACAGTTTCGAAATAGAGAAAAAAAAAGTTGACACTATTATTATAGCCTGGAATCAACGCGGGATACCTTTAGCGTTGTCATAAACATACCCGACAAACTACTTCAAAGGACACTAAATAACGGCTGTGGACTGGAATATATATCAACAATGTACATGACTATAGTATAGGTACACGATACGGGTTTTGGTGGGTAACGGATCTACTTACTAGCTGTTACAGACATGTTATGATCTAAGTTAAAATTCAGGCATAGACACTCGGTCGGCTGGAAGCAAGCCGTCTGGCCTAACGCCGATACCCGACGTAAAACTCGAAATATGGAGAAAGACTATACGTGCAGATGTTGGATCGGATGGATGATGTGTAAGTACCTAGTACTGCTCACATATTACGGAAGTGTTAGAAAGAGTACAGAGCCGTAAAAAGCTCAAAATATAGCCGCCGCGTGCAGTTAAAATAGTGCCTGACTTCATACGTGCAGGAGTACAAACTGGCTGGGATAAATGGGAGAATGTTTTGTGCAGACTCATCTGCGTTGCCGTCTTCAATTGTTTTTTGCTAAATTATATGCCCAGCTAACATATTTAATGTCAAGAGATATACTGACGTTGCACAAGTAAGTCTCAATCTTTTATAGAGTAGAATTTTATTAAAGTGTTTCAATCCTGTAACTCAGGTAAGATGCTTGCGGTGAAAGTGCCTTTATATATATGTATATATATACATATACATATATATAAATAAGACAGGTAAGATGCTTGCGGTGAAAGTTCCTTTATATATATGTATATATATACATATACATATATATAAATGCAGCGTTTACTTTCACACTTGTATAAGCATTGTTGTATCTGTTCCTTTATCCTCGGTTGTTGGCTAAGGTGTAGTAGTCTTGCCCCTCATAATATTTCCGAAGAGATCAACATTGGACAAACGACAAATATTTTACGGATCAATTGGGAACGAATAAAAATGATAGCCGTTGAAGAGCTGTTGAGGGTATGTCGCACAGTCGAGTGTGGGGTCCATTTTTCGCCCTCAAGGGGAGGGCTAGTTAGCGGAGGTCAAATTTGTGAGAAAATACTTCAGAAGGAAGAAATACAACCTGGTATGGGTTCCAGTATAAATTTGAACCTGCAAATACGGGGGGCGTGCATTAACTGCTTTATAGAGACTAATTAATTATAAGATAGGACTGAAAAAAGGCCGAATTGTGCCATACCTTACAAAGCAAGGAGCAGAGCGATTTAATTCGACCTGATCTGTAATCGATCGAGCGCAGGAATTAACAAGCTTATTTAATTTAGGGATAGTGCGTCTTTATAAACAACATTCCATAGATGATGGAGAAAATGGTTTCCTCGAATGAGCGAAGGAAAGCCAGATTCACGGACAGAGGAAAAGAATCAGTTCTAGCCGTCTCATTAAGGCCGTCAAATGAGATATTAATCGGTATCCTTCATCAACGTGTACTGAAAAGACGATTTCATGTGCGATAATGAAATGGGTCCGTCTTTTCTGTTTCAATTAACCTCCGCTGCCTTTAATGGCTCGATTGTCCTGACCTTAAGACACCTACGTACACCAATTGCAAAGCACGAATTTCCTATGGCCTTGCCAACTGGGCCGAGTTGTGAGACTACGATCCAGTCGCACGGCGCAACGGCGCCAGATACGATCTTAGTAGTAATCATACTTGCATACGTTGTGCTAGTTATCGGAGTGCTACGTCCCCTATACGACATGTGAGCAAAGGCCTAGAACAGTGAGCAACGAGTCTTCGGACGACATTGAACATTACGAGAACACATTGTCTTCGTGAATAGAATTGGTTAAAATATAGATAGCACAAAACAGACCAGTCGACACTTCCCCTTTCTCGTCCACCTCCTTTTGTTTAGTTGAATACGCAGATTGGCAGTGAGGTGCTGAACCTCATTATACACGCTCGTTACGTTACGACTACGACCGGCACAGTCTTCCCCCTTTAGCTCCAGCCGATGGAAACCAGCGTTGTAAGTCATCGAAGTTATTGCTTCTGCTGCTGTTGTTGTTGTTGACTCGAAGTGGATGCTGTCTAGAAGAAATAGCGATCGGCCTATTAGCTGTCGCCATTGGCATTACTACCGTTGACGGTGTCATTCCACTGCAGCGGCTACTTCGGCTGATATGTAAACAACTATTGGCCTAAGCATGTTTTCTACTATTTTCGTGGGAGAAATAGCGTGGCAGTAGTAATTGGTATTCTAACAAGCCGATATCACACCGTTGGCCTACTGCCTGTTCGGCCATGAAACGGCCAAAAAATGGATTGGGAAAGACGATTAGCATCTTGTTTTGTTTCGATATGATCAGTTAACGTTTTCGTTGTTTGTTTGCTTGAAAAGAGGAAGATGACCATCATGATAGTCATATTGATAATGCAGATCGTTGTTTGAAGAACAGTGGAACTGCACCTGTGCAGATGTTCTACTACGATCATGTGCCCTATTGTTGATTCGGTGAAGACATTGGCCGACAGTTGAGCGCAGTGCCCAATTAATTAACTGGCTCCAGGTGCTGAAGGACCGCTAGACGGGCTCCAGGGAAGGGACGGGCTGCAGAGAGAAATCGAATAGGGTACCACCATCATCAGCTGTGATCGTAGATAACTCAACAGCCACGCCAAGAATGGCTTTGCCCCAAAAGAAAGCGAACAAGGCGCGTAAGTTGGCAATGATACGATGACAGTGATAACAACAATGTCGAAAAAGAGGCCAAAGAGCGAAGTTTGATACAAATTTGGCTTATCCTATCGCTATTATTAAACAACGTGTGTAAAGCGGTACCTTTCTGTCAACGGTCAGTCAAAACATACATACATCATCATCAGCATCGTCGTCGTTGTTTTTATATATCGGGCAACAGAGAAAAACCGAAATTAAACAGCGAAAAAAAAGTGAAAGCCAAATAGAAAACAACGAGTCCTTACGGTATGCATCGTTTCATTTAGTAATAGCATTGAAGTAAATATAGAAAATAGGCCTCGATTCTCCTCCAGCCCAGCCACACGCACCGCCGTTCCTTAAAAAACATTCATATCGTACGACCGGATGAATGAATATATGTTTTCGATCGTCCATTGTCAACGACGTTAAACATCGAAACAACTGATGATTGCCTGCAATGGCTGGCAAATGTTGCGTCGTCGCACTTATGCGATACGTAGTGTCGACGTATAATGTGGCAGCAATATATCCGTCCGCTTGTATCTATTTGTGTGTATGATTCCTGGTCGAAATTATGGTGCTTGCTGGGAATTGTTGAAAAAAGCTGTGAATGGTGCTCACCATGAGACAAGATTTGGTGATCTTGAGGTCAACTGAATGAGGGCTTGCCATCGCCGACGGCCGGAGTAACAACAAAATCACTGCGTCCTTGACCGAAATGTACAGTTTATGCTTATGCAGTCGATGAAAATGGAGCAAGCTTTAAGAGGTTGATGGCTCAACCGATGATGAGCATTGATCGTTGCATCGAGTTACGCGTATAACGCGCAATTTTCATTGGCTTTTTTTTCTTAGCTGGTTTTAATAGGCTGTATTATTATAACGTGTCGTGAAAGACATTCGACGATTACGAGCGTGAAATTGTAGTTGCTCGGTATTCGATGTAACGTATTTCCGTTCCGTGGTATGCCCGCATTTCGTGAGCTTCATTTACACCTGCGTTATGACGAAAAGCCTGTCATAGTTGATAGGTCGACCAAACAGGCCGGCCAGGGCCTTTTCCGTACAGGGAAACCTGCTTGCCAGACACAATTGGACAAAGATTGTCCAGAGGCGTCCCCGAGTAACTCAATAAAGAGAGAAGGAGCAGAAGAGCGTCTAAGAACAATTTTTCTTTGTGGCTCGGAAGCAAATTTGGTTTTAAAATCCTTTTTAGTAAAAGTAAGCTCAGCAAAACACAACAAACTACACTACATGGTAATTCTGGGACTGAGTGATGCGCGCTCCTTAAAGCAATCATTACACCTTAATAAAATCGAAGCTGTGACACATTAAGTTCTATTTCTGAAGATGAGAAATATCAACCACTCTCTAATATCGTGTTAGACCTCATCTAGAGCTCAGACATTTCCTTCTACTTCTTCTCTCGAATTAGACCCATTTACATCTGCGTACGTATAAGCGTACTATGCTTACGATGCGATAATATAACACGATTGCGATAATATAAAAGGTTTTAGCTTGCAAAAAGTTTAAAACCAAAGTTACCGCAACTCACTTTGAAGGGTAATAATAGTTTTAAAAATCTCGTACATATGTTTACAAGGGACAAAATATGCATCTGCAAGACTCTCTCGCTTCATACAGGCTCTATGATAAATCCCCGTCATGTAGTTTTTTCGGCCGGTCTGGCTCATCTAGCTGCAAAAAAAACAGGGCAAAAGGAAGAGCCTTTGAGGCCTCCTGAGGCACAATCAACGCACTGTCCTGTTGGCTATGGTGATCATAAAGAATGGCTGAGTCTGTAATCAATAAAGGACTACCAGTGTGTTAAGTGCGGTCAACGTATATTGTTCTTTTTGTTGTTGCTTTTTTGGTAATGTCTTATATTAATATTATTCAATAATTATTGACACCATCATCAGCAGCATCGTTATATCAACTCATTTTTGCATTACTATGACGAAGGGAAAAGAGTATCTTTGTTTGTTGCTTGTAAACACACGAGTATGGAGTGATTCCTAGCATAGTGTGTACATAGATATATACATATGACATAATATAATACACATATACACAAACACTATATATAATAGATATATAATAGATACGTCTATATTTGTAGTACCCAAGCCCGCCTACCATCCGTGGCCGTGATGCTCCACCTTCTCCTTCTTAATATAAACAGGCACTCCAACCTCGACGGGCTTCTTGACGATGACCTCCTTGAAAACAGGCACCTTGACGGGCACAGCCACCGGCTGTGGGATCTTGATGATCTTGTGCACTGGTACGGGGACGAACTTCGGCACCTTCACTGGCACGGGAACGTGCTTCACGACAGGAACTGGCACGTGCTTGTAGACGGGCACCGGAACATGGTTTATAACAGGCACTGGCACAGGTACGGGCACAGAGTGTGGCACCGGCACGGGTTTAGGCACGGGCACGACCTTCGGCACGTGCACGATCTTAGGGATCTTCTTTACCACCGGCACTTTGACGGGTACCGGCAACGGCTTAGGTACGTGGACGACGTGTGGCACAGGAACAAGCTTGTGCACCGGATAAGGTTTGGCTACTGGTACAGGTTTAGGGATTGGCACGATTTTATGAACATACTTGACCACTTCGTGCACGTGGCCATGCGGCTCCCAGCCGTGCCCACCTGCGTTGACTGAAACGGTTGCCACACAGAGGGCAGCGAGCGCTACGAATACCTTCATGTCGACTTGAGTTTCTCGTCGGTAGACAATGTCGTTATTGGTTCGCGCCGGTTTTATTGGCAGTGCCGCCCCGGGTCCCGCTGACGTCAGAGCGGGCAGCGCTTTCTCGCTTGTCGTCGTGGCCGACCGTAGTAAAACCACGCCAACAAACGGTTGGTTGGCTGCTGCTGCTGCTGCTGCTATCAATGAAGCCAGTCACCCAGCCAGCCAAACAGACAGGCAGCTAGCCTTCTCTGATGCTGAAGCCAGCTGCAACAGAAGCACAGTGGAAGGCGTCTTAGCCCGCTGCTACTGCAGCTGCTGCCGTGGTCGTTGCTGTTGTTTTCACCGCAGCTACTTTTTTCATCTTTCAGTTATCAGTGGTTGTTCGGAGTGAAAGTGCGCGCGGGCATCACGGTGTCTGTGTCATGGTGCCCGGCTGGATCTGGGCTCTAGAACATGTTCTATGTATGTCTTGGTCGGTGTATGCCGCGCGGGTGCGCGGCCGCTCTAGCGTCTGCTGTGTGACGTTACCTGTCCGGTTGTGTATACGTGAGGAGTACTGGTTCACTTAGGCGAGCAAGGTCGCTCAGACATCGGGAGCATCCGACGGCAGCGACGCCGCTACCAGACTTCGATGTTGCCGATGTCAACAGCAACTAGCGGGGCGTTTGGAATAGACGTGCGTGACGCGTGGACGGTCCTACAGACCGCGTCGAATATCGCCAGTTGCCTTTGCTGCCACATCGTGACCGTGACCACTAACACAACTGGCAATAGTCTATAGCACTAATATCACCGCTGCCCCGTGTCCCCCCCTCCCCAGAGCAATTACCATCAGAGCGACCACTATTATTACCAGAGCAGAATGGCTCTGCGCACAGACAAATCTGATGGGAGTGCCTCCAGTCACATCTGGACGGCTGGTGCCATCAATGCGAGCAGCGGTAACAGCAGCAGCTGCTCATTTTTGCTGAACAGTACTAGCAAGTACAGCTGCAGTCAAACGTAGTTTTCCCCGTAGCGTCATCGCGGCTATAGAAGATTACACTGGTGAGGAAGACTCTTTCTGGAAGGGAAACAACTCAGTTTATTAGCACGAAAGCTGTCAACGAAGGGTTGACAGTTTTATTCTTTCTCTTCTCCGTTGGCTTCTGAAAATCAAATCTGGTGCAATGCATCACGTATTCATGTTCATAGAATTGATATTTGGCAGATTATAATTGTACAGAATACACTTGAAGGGAAGGTAGCGAAATACATGATGTACGTTAGTCGGTACCGTAAGGGCCCAGCCTTTACTGATTCTTTTTATGTTATTATTTGATTTTTGACGTAAACGTTTCAGTGAAGATGCGCTCGACCACAATGACCCCCAATTACAGTTTTGCTCATAAGATATCCAAGTGGCTCCCTGCCAGGCTACGGACCAACTCCTTCAACACCGATACCATACGAAGACTTCTCAAGTTTTGTGCGATGAAAATCGTTTGTAGATGTTGCAACAATGGCGCGCACTGCACACGACAGCCACAATAAACGTATGGAGTCTTACTTTTTGGCAAATACGTTTAGTTTATAATGTTTTTTCGCGCTTTAGATAATCACCACGTCCTCTGGCAATTTACTTTTCGGCGATAGAAAAACACCTGTTTGTCTTGAAATGGTCGCTGAAAAAATCTGAAACAAAGATATAACTGTGAATTGTATAGGTGATTTTCCAATGAACGAAAAGTGCATTAAACCTATACTTCTGTATATGTAGCAGCCCAGAAGTTTGCATTTCTTTCGACTCATTGATACTTCTATGAGTTTAAAGCAATCATGCATAAAAGGGTTTTAAACCGAGATGGTCACCTGGGCATATTGTTCTCGACGCTTCTAAAGCGATCGAAGTGTTTAGTCTTGAGTGTCTATTCTAGAATGAAGTTATTCCGTTGCACCCCATTGATGTCATCCGGGGCTCTGTTTTAGCCGGCTGTCAGAGATTACCATTTCTTTTGTGATCCAGACAAATTTCAGAGCTGTCACTTGTTTGCCACTACGGGTAACATTGCAACATCGCCCACATTCGTACCGAATTGGCAACTAACTTCGCTCTTTGGACACGTTTTCATCCATTAGCCAGATTATCTGTTGACTATCTCCGCATATGTATAAAGAAACAGCAAACATAGGGCAAGATTTAATCTTTATCTGCGTAAAATTTCCCGTCGCCGCAGGCCAACATCAATTTACGGCGGTATCCGATTCTAACAGCAATGTAAGTAACAGCCCTAAGAGTCCCAACCCCCCTCCCCATGTTGTTACAGGTGCTGTTTATTACGATTGGCTAGTAGGGTCTGCAGCAACAGCAGCAGCTGCAGCTGCTACTTACTACCCCTGAATTGATCTTATATTTCACTAGATTGCCGTTCACATTCTGAATCGCTCGGCGATTGCGTAGATTTGTCCCTTGTTGGTCATACAAATGTAATACAAGTACGTTCAGACCAAAGGGCTGTACCTAAATGGACGTAAAGTTTACTCTTTTTTAGCGCGCTAAGCTCTTTCATTGCGATTCCAGCATTCAAGTTGTTTTGCTAGCTGAATAATAAAGCCCGAGGGCGAATAAAGCCCTATTTGCTCCACCGACAGCAAGAACGATGTTTTTTTTGCAAACGTCGAATTAACAAAGGACGTTAGACTCGAATAAAAGGACATAATATTGAATGAAACGATAAAGTTAATATACTAGTTAGGTACTCTTATTTACAAGGTTTGTGGAGGCCTTCACAGAGCTCTATCCAACTCCCGTCATAGCACCTCACCTACACACAAGAAAACCTTGTTTGGAAAAAAAAACAAACGAATTTTTTAATGAAGCAATACATATGATATATGCAGACTCGCTTCGTGCTAGTCGTTCCTTCGTGATCCCTCGATTTAATTTGGGAAGGTAGTTTTGGGCCTGCTGTTACCGTATTTGCTGTCGGTTTTTTGACGAGACAGCAGAAATATCAGACACGACTCTGTTTACGAACCGATTGCCCGAGTATGTTATTTCTTGGTCGATACAAAAAAAGTTGCTCGATGATGTTCTCCTGTCAGGTCAATCATCCAGGATGAAATTCGACATTGATGATCCAATATTTGCTTTAGCATGTTTCGCCACTTGCATTAATTTGTATGTAGCATTCGCGCAAACATGATGACGGTGGCAGCCTTTATCTTCGCCATTTCAAGTATTATGATGCTATTGTACCAGATTTGTGCTGCCCACCGCAGTCGCCGCTAGCGAAAAGCTGCGGTCGGTTTGAAGCTTCAGCTTCAATCGAAGAAGAAATCGTAACGGTTGACCGAGCCAGAGTAGCTAGATTTCAGCAACAGAAGGCAAATCGGATATGATGTATAGCGGGGTGACTGGGTGACGTTCCCCATCAACAACAAGAAAGCAATGCCAGCCCAGTTAACTTCACTTGTTGTGTACGTCTGTAACAACTATTACAACCACATTAACGATACCAAACTGATGTTACCTAAACCTAAAGTTCAAGTCTGTATTTGTGAATACGTGTTTGCGTACAAGTCTGCGTATATCGAGGCTGGACATCTGTATAGATACGTGAATCTTCGCAGGAGATTAACCCCAGTGGGAGCATCGATCGCTGTAAATCAGACGTTGAAGTAATCTCAAGAGAATTACACTTGTGATAAAATAGCAGTACCAAAACCCGTAACTGAAGCACAGTGAGGGAGTTAGGGTCAAGTCGGAAGTAGATTATGACAGCAGTACCATGTAAAGTATGCCGAAACTAGCGTTCATATGCGATGTGCATTGTATGCCCGGATTGTTTGCCCCGTTCGTTTGTAATCAACGCAATTACTACATTATTTCTCAGCACCCCACAATAATGCCTAATTTGGAAAATCGATATTTTATTATGAAGATAATTAGTTTTAAATGTGGTCATAAATATTCGACAAGGCGTCGAAAAATACCGTCTCCGATACATACGTTTTAACGCGACGATCGAACGATGCCAGGGTGAAGACGTCTAATATTAGTCAACTGCTAAAGACAGGAGTTAGATCAATTTGACCAACGATGGTAAAACAGTTTGTTCGAATTGCTCTAATTGTATTTGGTAATAATTTATCCAGCGCCTAGATTGGACTAGCCAAAATGTATGTAAAACTGCTTTTGGAGCTTAAAAATTCGGTATACAATGGTTTCCGTAGCACTAATTTATCCTTTTGTAAAGCCTTCATTTAGACGAGAATCTGGTAAATAATATACCGTAAATATCTATGGTATATGCATCCGAACGAGGTAGTCGACAGTGCTTCACTGGAGCCGTTCATCAATTACGCTCGAGTCTACGTTTCAAGCTAATCTCTACTTAGAGCCCAATTTATTGTACAGTTCCATCGCTTACCCGTTGTTGTGTTTTTGTCTGAATCGTCGAGTTATTCCAGTGGTCCAACGATATTCTTGTTTACCTGCCCACTGAGTACGAATTTGGGATAATCATCCGATCTTAGTCATATTTGCTTGCAATCATCTCATGATGATCAGGTCACGTGGACTTTGAAACAAATTTATTACGACACGAAGCAGTCGTCATAGGTGTTTGACTATTTCGTAAAGTCTGACCATCCGATATCGCGAACCTCTGGATTTCCTTCGCAGAGAGCTTTGCCAACAGGTAGATTAAAAATTTCCTTGGTGACTGAAGCGCCGAACTGGCATTCACAGCGGATAGCTTCAGCGTGGTATTGTAAGATTACAAATAAGGACTAAGCTCGCCTATAGCAAGACCGTAAAAACTTTGTGTACCGTTACGAAAGGCCTCTTAATTCTGCCTAGCTTAAATGCATGTAATGTAGTTATCTACTACATAAAAGAATGTCAAACTGCCGACTTAGTTGTATTAGGACAGTCCCCGGGAGCAACTATTAGAGCGCCCTTAACTTTCCTTAAAATCCCCGCTCAATGTATATATAAAGGCTGACATTGGACACAACAGATTGTCACGCTACTATATAACTCCATGAAAATTATCAGGTAGTGTCCTAT